TCTGCATTTTTTCTAAGATAAGTTACACCTTTACCTACCATTAAAACTTTAAAGTGTTATAATTTCGTAAATAATTAAAATAGGACATATGTTCATTAACATTTTTTTTTGTAATTGGATTAGCTATCATATGTCAAAGTTTGATGGTGAGCTGATAAATCACCCTGTATAAATCAATAAATGGCTAAGGTATAGATTATCTGTAATAATTTCAATGATTTGTCATATACAGATAAAATTTGGTATACTGTGCAATTTTATAATGAGGAATCTGATAAGATCGGCATCCACCAACATCCCTTTTCGTGAAAATATATAATTTTAACTAACAATCGATAATAATAAAATACTAGCAATAACAGCTATGTTCCAAAAAGCGGCCCCGACTCGTATTCAAATGCATTCAACTAAGAATAAAATCAACGTCGCTGATTGTCGGGGAATTACCCGACAATCGGACAGTCCTAGTCGCCATCGGCCTGGCGCGCCAGCCCGATCGAGTACACATGGAGCGGTGTTGCCGCATTAAGCGTGTTCACGAGGGAATCTCGTTTCGAATTTTTCGCCAGCTAGGTAGGCCTCTTAACATCATAATCAAGTATAGTTTGTATTTAAAAAAATACAACTTTGTGTTGTATCTCAAAAATCATCAAATATTTTTAAAATTTATCAACGGCAGTATATTCTACTTAAAAAAGTGTCTTAAGAACGTATCAACCTCATTTCTCTAATTTCAAAAATAAACAAAATATGAACATTTTTTGAAATCACGAAAATTTGACTTTTTGGCTATAACTTAAAAACCAAAGGAAGATAGAGGTTTGGTGTTTGCGGGATTGGGTTAGTCTCGAAAAAAGAAACCGGGACCTGGCACCTACTTTTTTCGTATCTCAGAAACTATAAGAGATAGAGGTTTCTTTTTTTGAGACTAATCCAATCCCGCAAACACACAACCTCTATCTCCTTTCTATCCATCTTTTGCCCTCACCCCCTTTGCCAAAACCTGCTTCCTGTCCATCACATCGTCCGTCAGCTTACTACACCCTGTCAGTATGTGTTCCAGCGCTTCCTAATCCTCTCTAAACAACCTACACCACCTCTTCATATGGTCCGTCCAAAATCTGGTCACCAATCACTCCCCTTCCTCATCCCCTTCCATCAACAGATACTTTGGCAGTTCCTCTGTCATTATTTCCCCATACCTTACTTTATATTTCCCTTCCTGTATCTGTGACCTTCTTTCCTGCATCTGTATATCCCTGTCCCTATCCCTCAGTTCTCTCCACATTTCACCTCTATCCACTCTTCTATTGTCGATCCCAGTTAGTGGATATCACACTCTCCTATAATATCCTTCCCTATCTTCCAACCTTCTCTCCTTGATTTCCCTCCAGCACTCTCCCAGAATCCTGCAATGGGGTCTTCCTTCTATGCTTTCCACATACTTCACTGCTCTTGTCTTCCACCCTTACTGCATCCAGCTTAACCTCCTCCCTCACTACATATCCTGGAGTCTCCCTCGCCATTAACCTGTTGATTAACCTGTAAAGGGAGACGAAAACTTGGTAAGGTGCTTCATCAACTGGTACAGAAGAAAATGTATGGTTGTGCCCACTAAAGCCTGTACAAATTTTCTTTGGATCCAAATCATAACCATGGTGGCTTGCAGATAAAGTCTGCTGGTAGAACAATGATGTCTGTTTTTTTCTTAAGCTCTTTCATTAATGATTTCGGTGACTCTACAGGTATTCTGCTAATTGTTATTTCCACTTCGCTGATTTCCTTCCTCATATGATTCTTGTATTTGTTGGTATCATCTTAAAAAGTGGATATATTAGCTTGATGACTTGTTAATAGCTAATTTAAATAAATCTACTTGTAAAAAAAATTATTATCTGCTTTTTTTTCTAGACGAGTAAAAACTCTTTATCGGAGTTAGAAAAAAGGGAAAAACGGGCAATGGAAAGAAAGTTAAGCGAAATGGAAGAAGAACTCAAGGTAAGTGTTTCTTTAATCCATTTGTTTATGTCCTCCTTCTCACTCAATGGTTGGATGGATGTTATTGGAATAAGTTTGACATTTACGTGTCTCTCTCTATTTTATTATTATTTTTTTTTTTCATTTTTTTTTTGATAGTGATAGTTTTTCTACCTTATTTTTTAATAATCTTTTTTTATATTCCTTTTTTTCTAAGTAGATCTCATGCTGCTAGCGCTTGCTCCTTAAGTTGTTTTTCCACCTTTTTACGACTAGTGACTACTTTTTTTTTACAAAATAAATTTTTATAAAAAACATTGAAAACAGATTAAGAAACAAAAATTTCTCAAAAAAATGAGAGTAATCGATTCACTTTTTTTTTCAATTTATTATTGGTGCACAAATCAAAATTATTATTTTTTATAGCAATTGCAAAAGCTCAAAGCTGAGAATGAACGTCTGAGGGCCGAAAACAGGGCCCTGACACGTGTCGTCAACAAACTCAGCATCGCCACAGAGAAATAGGTAACACTTCGTCACCAGCTACCCCGCACCCCCGCTCTTTTTTTTAATTAATTAATTAATTACGAGAAATGGTAAACAATACAATTTTTTTTCTTTACTTCCGCGTCTTTTCGTCGCACTCATTATTCCCAATTCTGTTTTTAGTCTCGTCCACGTGTCTTTATAAAAATGTCTCAACTTTCTATTCATCGCATCTAAGTGTTTTTTAGTCTATTTTTGTTATTGTCTCTATCTCACAGTTAACGTTAACATTTTCTTGATTCAATAAAACGTTGAAAGCACTCAATGAGGATGAAATTGTTTATTTTGATGTAGTGTAATTTTATTTTACCGCTTTTGAGTTTAAATATTTTTTGTTCTTTTTTGCTTTTGTTGTTTTAGGAACGTAGCTTGTTCTGGTGTTTCGTTTGTTGTTATTTTTTTGATGGTGGTTAATGTTTTTAAAGACGTTGATGAAGATTGCATGGTTTATTTTATTGTTAGAGTGTATTATTTTTGTGTAGTAAATATAATTTTTGTTTAAAATAAACCAAATTTTCATAATCCGTCCTTTATTGTTAGCATAAAATTTGTTGTGTATTTATTTAATTTTTTTTCTAGCAAATGGAAGTGTTGAAAACGGAAGTGCAACGATTAAAGGACGAAAACGGAGCCCTAATCCGAGTGATCAGTAAACTATCGAAATAGTTACGTTTTATTTATTATTGTTAACGTGCCCTTTCCCTCCTCCATTATTAACCGTGTTTACCACCTGCATTTTAAACTTTGTAAGGTTGAATCTTGAAACCCCCACCCGATTTTTTTTTGGACCATTTTAACGTCCCTTTTGTACTTTTCGTTCTATGTTATAAGTGGTTAGACGTCCGATTCAAAATAGTTATTATTCAACTGTATACTTGATGTTCTTAGTTTTTATATAGTTGATGTGTAAAGTGGACAATTATAGTATATTGTTTTTTTTTTCTATTTCTTTCTCTCTATTTGTGTTTTCTTTATTACAAAAACTCGACTGTGTACTTAGAACAAATTGGCTACACTGCCCTTAAGGTTAAAAAAATAACATAAAGTACTCTACAATCGTTATAAGCTTTCGATGTAATATTGATATAAAAATACGTTGTGAAACCGTATTTTTATTCATTTATTTTTACCGATTTAAAGAATTTTTAATACGATTTATAAAAAGAGTGTCTATAATCAAAAAATTAAAAAAGACAATGTGCAAATATTTTTGTTTTTAATATAAATATATGTGTACATTTGTAAGACGATAATTCTTCTCTATTTCTATCTCTCTTATTGTTTCTTTTATTCTGAATTGGCGAAGATGTGTCTTTGTATATACCTATTAATAATAATTGAACGTTCTATTTTTGTCTTGATATAAATTTAGAATATGATCGTTTTTTGATTACGATTTCGATGGATTTCGTCGTCGGTACGTTTGTGCCTTGCTTTTCGATAACTTATTGAACTTTTGACTGTTGCATCATCAGAACTTCGGTTCTCGGCCTAAAATCGCAACGAAAAATCAACATTAAAAAATCAAAAAGTTCTAAATTATACGTTTAATCGATATAATCGATAATTTTTCACTTTTTGAACAACAATTCTGTTTGTTTATTTTTGTTTTTCGTTTCGTTACTTGGCCGAGAAGCACTGATATACATATAAATTATTCTTTCTGTATTTATTATTGTACTTTTTTTTGTTAGAATTATAGTATAGTTTATGTGAAATCGTTTGTGAATATTTTGTAGCCAAGGTTCTTATCAAATATATCATTTTAATTGATTTTGTATTTTGCTTGTTAATCAATTTAGAATTTATTTGATTCTTTTTGATATTATTACTTTTTACCTAGTAATGTTGTACTTTTTACATTAATTTTAAATTTAGACAATCAAATATGTGAAGTTTTTTTTATTTTGAGGTTGGTACTAACTGGTATTAACAACAATTAAATGTGTCAAAACAATTTTAAGAGATGTTGCTGTGTTATTTCTTATACAAATTCATTTTTTAATGTGTTATTTAAAGTTTAAGAAGAATGTTAGGTTATCCAACTCGTTATGAACGTATCCCACCACAAAGGCCTTGCTGTAACGTCATTGGAAGAATTGACATTTCTATGTTTTTATTTATAAAATATTAAAATATGAAGCGAAATATTAATGAATGCGAGATAATCGTAAAGAATTCGAATTGTTTTAAAATTAATAAAAATTAGATTAGAATTGATAACAAAATCGCTATAAAATTTTATTATTTTAAAGTTATCCAACTTGACTCGGTTACCATGGTGATTAAGATCCAAATATTGTTGAAATACAGTTGCTTGTCAAAATTAACGTTGAATTTAAGTTTTTTTAATGAAAAACATAATTAATTGGATTTAAAGGTTGTATTTAATTCAAAATGGGTAAATGGATGAAATTATAAGCAAGGTAAGTGAATTAAATCAAAAAAAAATATTTTTAGATCAACTAAAATGTACAAGAATTTAGGATTAAATAACAATTAAAATTAGAACTAACACTACATCCAGAACTAGAATCATTCTCATTCTCAACTTTCAGTTGTGAATGTCAACTTTAATTTTATTATTATATTCGTAATCTTCATAAAAAATCCTTTAAAATGAGTCCAAACTCGACATATTTAACTTTAATATTAATAGAAATTCAATCACTTCCGGTTTGAAACGTCAACATCAATTTTGACATATTTGTCATCTTCATTAAAAAACCTTTAAAATGAGTCCAAAGATGACGCACTGATCTCAAAAAACATAAAAAAATATAAAAAAGTTTGAATAAAACGTTAAACCCGAAGTTAGCAACAATGAAGATAGCAATTTAATTTTTAAATATTAATACCAACCTTAATTTTTGATTTTTTTTTTGTGACAAATATTAAGACATTTTATAAAAATTAAGAATTTATCAAAATGACATTGACATTTCAAACCGGAAGTTGCTTATATCTCCACTAATATTGGAATTAAACGTATCATGTTTGGGCTCATTTTAAAGGATTTTTCACGACAATTACAAATATGTCAAAATTGAGGTTGGGTTTTAAATCTGAAGTAGTTATCATATAATAGACAAATGGACAACTTCATGATGTATTCTCTATTAAAAAACCTTTAAAATGAGCCCAAACATGTCGCATTTATCTCAAAAAATAAAAAGTAAAAAAGTTCTTTTTACTTTATGATTGTTTGTTTTGTGTGTGTTGGTATTACCTAGGGTCCCTATAAAATTTATACCGGTTTCTATAAAATTTTAACGTAGTTAATTTGAAAATAACTTCCGGTTAATCTTACCAATTTTACAGCAATTTGACATTTTATAGAAAAGAAAAACGCAGTATAACTAAAAAACGAAAATCAGTTGGTAGTACTTTTTACTATTAATAACCTCGTCAAATATTTGAAGAGAAATTTGAAAAGAAATTTAAAACTTAATTAAATTAATATGCTTTTTTTAAATTATATTATTTATTAATACATATTTACACAAAAATTATATAAATAAGATAAAAAATTATTATAATTTTAATTTTATTCAAATCCTAACGCTAGATGTCGTAGTCGTGAATGCACCAAATTATGACATTTGACGTTTTGTTTTTGGTTAGGTAATCTTTAACTAAAAACGAGCCAAATAATAAAAATGGCATCGATTTTAAGACAACTAACGCGGGTTTTAAAGCAACCCGTCGTTCAAACGAGAGGTAAACCCAAAAATCCTATAATTTTCTGATATTTAACGTTAAATCCAGTTTCTAGTACTGGGATTAGGTTGTTATCCACAGCGGTTGAAAAAGCGAAAGAGGAAACGAGACGTAAGAATGTTAACAATATTCTATATTGTTATTTACCCAGTATTTTTAGCGACTGTTCGTAAACCTGATGAGTTGCAACGTACGCAATTAAAAGATTTTGGAAAATACTGTGCTGAATTGCTTCCAAAGTTTATTCAAAAAATTCAAATCACCGCCGGAAATGAGTTGGAGTTGTTGGTTGTTCCTGAAGGAATTTTACCGGTTTTGCAATTTTTAAAAGATCACCACAACGCTCAGTTTTCTAATTTAACAGATATAACAGCTGTTGATGTACCAACACGACCTTATCGCTTTGAAATTGTGTACAACATTTTATCTTTGCGTTTCAATTCAAGAATTCGTGTAAAAACCTACACTGATGAATTAACCCCAATTGATTCTTGCAATAACATTTATTCAGCTGCTAATTGGTATGAAAGAGAAATTTGGGATATGTACGGAGTTTTCTTTGCAAATCACCCTGATTTAAGGCGTATTTTAACTGATTATGGCTTTCAAGGACACCCATTTAGAAAAGATTTCCCGTTAAGTGGTTATGTTGAGGTAAAAAATTTTTATTTTTGTAGTTTTTATCATAAAGGTGATTGTGTTAGGTGAGATATGATGATGAAAAGAAACGTGTTGTTTGTGAACCATTGGAGTTAGCACAGGAATTCCGCCAATTTGAATTATCTGCACCTTGGGAACAATTCCCTAATTTCAGGAGGGCTTTACCGGCTTCTGAAGAAGTTCCAATTAATAAAAAAGGAGATGAAAAGAAATAAATAAAGTATTATTTATAAAATTGTTAATTTAATGAGAAAAGAAAATAAAACAAATAATGATTTTTGGTTTTGTATTTATTAATTCTCTGTTACAATATTAAATTAAACATTTTTTTCATCATTAACAAAATAGACATAAATAAATATACATTTTACAAACTTAAGCCTCAATAAATTTAATAAGAGGCGGAACTTCTCCGCAAAAAGCACTTTATTAAATTTAATTTTTAGCATTAACTCGTTTTCTTTGTTTATTTCCTTGATTATCTTTCATGTCTCTCTGATATGAACATTTTGTTCTTTTTTAATTGTCAACAAGTTAAAATGCTTTTGAAAAATTGATACAGGTACCAACTATCACACCGATCTAACACCAAACTGGTAACTTGATACACATATTTACAAATACAACAAATTCGGGTGGTCGTCGATGTTCCGCAACTACCAAAAAATACCACAAAAAGTCGTTTGCCAACCATCGACGCCCTCCGACGATCATATTTTTTTTTTCGATTAATTATGGGAGAAAAAACCATCAAAAATATATTCTTTATGTGCCATCATAAAAATAGTATTTATATAGTTTCGTTATCCTCTTTTTTTCTTTACCACTTAAAGCTTAATTTTTTTTTAAGTGAGCACATCAAACGTTGCTAAACTAACCTATTAAGAGTCCAAAAACGTCGAATTAAAATTAATTATTTGATACAAACTTGTTTTAATGTCAATGGTTAATAATAAAAACGATCACAGTTTATCTTTTTTATGTCGAATCGAAACAAATTCTGTGTTCGTCTTTAAATTCAATTCAATTTTTTTTATTAAGCTTTAGGAATGATACATACACGTTTATATAAAGACCCAGGAGACGGTCGATTCATTGTACTATTTTGTTTGTCGCGTTAATAGAAACATCGCAATTTCTAAAAATATTTCTGAAAATCCGTTTCTCCTTTTTATAAATTTCTGCCGTAATAAAATCTCGTTTAGCAATTATTATTTTTTTCCCCGCAACAATTCTTATAACTACAATTTCCTTTTATTTTCAATATATCCGTTTTTAATATACCAATTTCTTTGAATTGACAAAGATTTAAAAATTACAAAAAGAAGAAAATATCTTTTTTTTCTTCTTCTTCATTTCAAATAACAAGTTTTTTTAAAAAAATATTCTTTAATCTCATTAAATAACTAAGTACATTACGTACATTAAGTTAGTTTCGTTTAAGAGTTAACGCGTACAATAAAAAAATACATGTATTGTTCAAAACATCACCTTCAATTAATTCATCCACTCCAAATATTACATAATACAATTCACTTGTTTATAACATAAACGTATCAACATATCTTTTGTTTCCAATATTTTTTTTGTTTGATATAATCTGCACCTTAAGTTAACTTATTCGAGGTGTAGCGGAATAAAAATTACGGGAGTAGTAGTATGGGTCAAAGTCAAATCACAAGTTTACCACAGATCAATTTTGGCAGGAGTTCCACGAATCCAAAACCTCATCATCATATCGACGATGTCTTCGGGAACGCCTTCATTACCGATGTCGTTAACGACATCGGGTCCGTTTGAAAATTGGACGCTTGACGTTCGTGGTATTCTTGAAAACACGGCACTATACAGAGGTTCGTTCGACACTCCGGACAGTGATATTTGGTTTTTCGACGTAATATTCGCCCGTGAGTATCCACAGTGTTCCAACAATAATTACAACCAAGTGCTGCACCTGCTCTTATTACCGGACAATGACTTGAACGCGTTCCAGTCTAAAAGAACAATTAAATAAATTTATACCGGGAATTTCATATTACTCGCAATATATTAATGCAGTAACCATAGTTACGAAACTAGTATGCACTTGCATTGTCCCACATAAAATGCAACATAGCTTAATAGTACAAGCATTGGGTAGTTTTGCAAAGGAAAAGTTTTTCTTGGAAAAAAGTGACATCCTTATGATAACCCTGAATTGCCGGCCGTCTTGAGGCCGATCTTGTGTTAATTTTAGTGATACTGCTAGTGCAATACTAGAACTAACACTAAATTCTCTCACTAGTCTCACACAAATCTCACTAGACTTCTAATATTTATTACTATATTGCAAGTTAATAATCTATTATAGAAATCACTTAAAAACTCAAGTGTAATTATAGAGGATGATCTAACGCAGCATCGTGCTTCTCAAATGCGCCGCCTTAAAGAATAATTTAGAAAAAATTGTGTTTGGAGTCGTGATGGTACAATTTTCGTTACTTAACGCTAGGTGATTTTGAAATATGGGGCGAAAAGAGGAAGAAGGAGAAGAGTTACTTGAATGTTTGATCAATAATACAAAAAAGATGTCGCCGAAAAGAAAAACTAAACGAAAACGTCGCTTATTTCCAAGAAAAATGCACAAAAAAAACTTACCACCACGTCAAGAAACACCCGAAGACATACAAGCATTATTAGAACCAATTTCCACAATTGATTTAAATTTGAGTTCCCCTGAAAGTGATATAAGCGACCCTTTCGAAGAAATCCATCCAAATAATTTATTAAATCCCCCAAAAAACGGACAAAAACCTTTAACAAAACATGAATTCGATGTTGAATCAATGAATAAATTCACCGATTTGCATAAAAGTATCGTACAAGACTTAAAAATTAGCGACAACATGTTTTATGAATCATACGAAGATGTGATTCAAGTACTTGAGGCCCCGAAAGAACCAAAACCTTTATTTCCCGAAACTATTGAATCAATAGATAAGATATTAAGCGACCCTGGTTTAGTTCAATTTGTTGAAGATGTCCAACCGGAATCGACAGAAATGAGCTACGATTACATGTCGGGATTTTGGAATATGGTTAAAGAACATTGTGAAGGAAAAAAGTTCGAAATTACTCCACCTAATTACGATGCTTATAATCAATCTGAACCGCATTGGTTAAATCGACCGTCTGTTCCATCTCAAGACGTTTTAGATTACTCAAAAATTAAATGTCAAAAGTGGTTATCAGAACATAATTAATAATTATTAAAAAAATACATGTATATGGATTAAATAATAAAATCGTTTATTTCTTTTTATGTGTTATGAATGTTGCGATTGATGCAAGTTAAGTTTGGTAATTACGATGATTAAAAAGTCGAAAATTTTCTGGAAAATGACTTTTTCCCAATTATTATAACATTATAGAAAGCTTTGCTGAAGAGGAAAGGATTAGAGACATTTCTTGGACTCTAATTGTGTCAAAAATCGCAATTAGACGAGCACTCGGGTTCAAATCTTACAAGGGGCAGAGAGATAATGCATCTATGAGCGTGGTACCATCAACAATTAACAGAGTATATCTGGAAATTCATATAACTCGCAATATATGAATGCAGTAACCATAATTGCGAAAGTACTGTGCACTTGTACTCTCCCAGATAAAATTCAACAAACTTGCAAAGGAAGAGTTTTGTTTGGAAAAGGTCACGTCCTTATGTCACTTTCTGTGTTTCGAGACGGCTAAACCCGAATGATTGTAGTTCTAAGTCTTGTGTTAGTTCTAGTGATAGTGCTAGTGCAAAACTAGAACTAACACTAGACTTAGATCTAGAAACATTCGGATTTAGCCGCACGTCTCTCAAGACGGCTAAAACCGAATGATTCTAGTTCTAAGTCTTGTGTTAGTTCTAGTAACAGGGTAAAACTAGAACTAACACAAAACTTAGAACTAGAATCATTCGGATTTAGCCGCACGTCTCTCAAGACGGCTAAACCTAAATGATTCTAGTTCTAAGTGTTTTGTTAGTTCTAGTGCTAGTACAAAACTAGAACTAACACTAGACCTAGAACTAGATAGTATGTTTCTGTCTAGTATGTTATAGAATGTTTCTAGTTCTAGGTCATAGAAAATAGCTTCATAGAAATGTAACTCTCTAAACAAAAACTACGTACTAAAAAATTGAACGCATGTGACGCCATCTGTTGGGGATGTTTTGTAATTATTCAGCTAAGAACCGAACCACTAGAATACAGGTTGGATCGGGTTTATATATAAAAGCTTCAACCACAGAATAACTGTTTGGAGCCACTATGTTGCTCCAATTAACGTTCCGACTGGTTGAGAATTCCTCAGATGCAATACCTATGGAAATTACACCTGTCAAATAATGCCGCCACATTTGAATATCACGGCATCATATGACATGTGATTGCATCTGACGAGCTTCCAACCAGTTATAACGTTAGCTGAAACAAAGCTATAATGTCAATTATAATCTAATTATTTAATCATACCATTATTACCAAAAAATCACTTTAAAATGACGTTTCCATCTGTCATTCTGAACAAACTTCAACTTTTTAAAAGTTGAAGTTAGCGACAAATTTAAAAATATAACACGAATTGGAATCTATACTTTTTAAATTAAAAGAATGATACTGGTAACAATTGTTATTGCTGTCTCTCATCATTCCCACTATTAATAATAAAATTGTTAGTTTAATTAAATTATTTCAGTATAGACGCCAATGCCATCTTACGGTGGGATTTCGACATACAATCAGTCCCAAGTTCTCCTATCTAAGATCCCTGGGGCTGGTTCTAGGTCTAGTGTCAAGGACAGTAGAATCTAACAGGACTGCTACATCCATTGTATTTTTGTAGTCCACTACGGGTTGGTTGCCCGCACTCTACGTCACACTATTTGCCACGCCTGGTAACTGTCTGTGTTTTTAGAGGTTATATGATAGACATTAATAAGTCTAAAAGCATAAAACTTCAAAAATAATATGAATATGTCTAGCATATAACCTTTAAAAATACACAGCAAACGCATAGACCATAACAACAGCTGGTCGTGGAAAATGGTGTGACGTAGTTTGCGGGTAGGTTGTCACAACAATGGATGTAGATTCTGTTCAGTCCTGTTAGATTCTACTGTCCTTGGTCTAGTGTTAGTTCTAGTTTTAGTTCAATAAAAATATGCAACATAGAACTAACATTAGACCTAGAACTAAAAACATTTAGGTTTAGCGATCTTAAAAGAAGCACAGTTAAACAGAATGTTTCTACTTCTAGGCCTAGTGTTAGTTTTAGTGCTAGTATTAGTCTAGTTTTCTTTGAGGTTTTACTGTAACGTCAAATTATATTGACATGTTGCATTTTATGTGGGACAAAGTAAGTAGGTACACATTGGTTTTTATGGAAATATATTATTGTATATTGCATCTTAAGTAAAATTCACTGTATAATAAATAACACCAAAACAACTCCCATTAGACTTATATGGTTTGCTCTGAATTTCTTTCACACCTGGGAACATCCAATTGTGAAAACTACGAAAAATATAAACAAGAAAGAACAGAGGTAGCTATCAAGGTAGCTCAAAAAACAGATGTGGGAGAGTTTTGGACATAGAATGGAGGCACATTTTAAAGGAAACTCACTCAAGCCAGAGATACATCAAAGACGAGAACGAAATGATACTTACGTCGCAAGAGGAAGTAAAACAAATATGGTTCAAATAGTAGAATAAATTGTTGGAAGGAGATTTATAATAAGCAGCAAACAGAAACATACAGTGAGTTAATAGAAAACGAAACGTTGCAGATATAGAAATGGAACTTCAATGCCTCTCAGTTAGCTTCCACTCTGACATCATCGTCTTTACTCCTCTTGACCATGTGTTGGGCGGCATCCCTCTTGCTTCGTGAATCCTTCTATGGTGCCCGTTTCAAATCATTCTAGAATAGACAACCTAAGTCTTGACGTCACAGAACTGGGCGGAGCTTATTCCAACTCCAAACATTTTCGTTGCTAACTTAAACAATCTATTGTAGTTAGCATGATTATGATTTCTCGTATTATCTAATTGGTGATCATTTTGTATTAATCTTCTAGATGGGATGGAAGTACATTGATGGAGGCCAAAAATAAGATGAGAGACAAAGGCAGCTCGAAACGATACTACAGAAACCGCAATCCCGACACCATCCAACAAATTTCAGATTTAATGGGAATTATACATAGAATTTCAAATTCAAACTTCATCCCAAAGAATTTTTGATTTAATTCCTATTAGATAAATTTCCAAAAAATTTCTAATTGTATTTTACCTGAGGTGATGAGGCACTCCTACGTAATTCATCCGTCCTAACGCGCAACGTAGCCGTCGTTTCCGTTGGAAAACTTTCCGATCTCGTTGGGGTATCCTTGGGTGACGTCGCCAGTGGATCCGAAAAGATGATCATCGGACTAATAGATCGCTCACCTTCGCTGGAGTGCGTTTGAGGGAGAAGTTGTATATGTAGCGGAGCAGGAGGAGTTTGCGACTAAACATTTTATACACAAAATTTTTTTTAATTATTTCTTTATTAAAACGATCTCGATTTACCTGTTGTGTTTGACTAGGTAGTAGCGGATGAGAGTGTTGCTTAACCAAAACGTTTCCAGGAACACTCAAAAGCGATCCAGGGGGTGGTGAATGTACCGGAAGAGGATCTGAACATTGTCGTTCGACGCGAACGTGTGGTACCGTTAGATAATGAGGAGAGAGCGGGTCGGATTCGATCGGTTGACTTGGGTCACTTTCGCGTTTGATCCTCGGCTGTCGTATCAAAAATCTACTTCGTTTTGTACCCAATTGATTTTGATGAATTGATTGTTGCGGTAGTTGAGCGTGGGTTGTTATTGTTGGACGTTCTATAACAATAAATAATTACAATAATTGGTTAATTCAAATCTAACAAAAAACGATAATAACAAATAACAAACAAAATTGTATAAGAAAGTGGTTTTATTTGAAAATTTGTATTTAATTACAAATAATTTTATTAAAATCTGCTATAACAAATTAATAATAAAAATGAAAACAATCAGTTAAGCTCTATATAAAAAAAAAACAACGATTAACAATAATATTCAAAATTAACTTTAAAAATCAAAACTACAAAAATGAAATGATATGGCTTCTCGATTAATTAGTAGTACTGATTAATTCTATATTATAGGTTTTTATTAATCATACATATCTTAATAAATTCTGATTCCTTGTTTTTAATTCATCCTTTAAATCAGATCTGCGTCATTACATTAATGGAATTTTAATGATATTCCATTAAATGTAAATTATTGTTTTGAAAAAATATATGTATCATATACTTATTTTATGCTACTTAAAGTAGTAGAATTAAAATTACGTAATTAATGGCACGTTTATAAGGAAAAAAATTAACTTTAAATCTCAAAATTCACTCCTGAATTGTTTATGTTTTGCCCATTAACTATATTATTGTCGAAATATCTCGATCTTGGAAAAACGGGCGCAATCTCAACAGGTCTCCCTTCCAAAAAAGCACTACTTATCATAGCAATGGGATTGCTTATAATAACTTCTGTAGTTTCTTGTGTTGGAGAACTTGTTGTTGTTGCAGATGATGTAGTTGGCACGATAGTTTGACTTTGGGTTTGTTGATTTTGGGATTGTTGATTTTGCGTTTGTTGCTGATTTTGCGGTTGGTCACTTTCTTGTTGATTCCCCTCAACCGATTGATTGCTATGAAAATCTTTAGTTTTTCTATTTTTAATTGATAATCGATTTATTGGGTAACCCCTCTTTTTATATTCCAACCACAACGTTCGATTATTAACCCCGAAAATCCTCGCAGCTTTACAAAATCCAATACCACCAAATCGCACTGCTTCTAAAGCTCTTATAAAATTTTCGTCCGCCTGTGGGTTTAAACTTCGTTTTCGTTTCATTATTTGAGCTGGAGAATTATTAATGACTTTTGTTTCTTGATTATGATCACTTTGTTGTTGAACAAAATGAACCTGTTCTGAGTTGTAGCTCCCTCCTTGAATTCCTGATACTGTACTTGAATTTGTAGTGTTAACTGTGGCTGAAGCGTACTGAACATCATTATGGGTGGACATCCCAGGTTGATAGGAAGCGAAATGGGCCGAATAACCATGGTCGACCCATTGAAATCCTGCAAGGCGAAGGAAACAACACTGGACTTAATTCTCCATATTTTAGACAACGGCTCAACGGCAATTGTGAACATGAACAGGGTCATAATTTATATTTTATTAAAAATGAATGAATGTTTGAAAATGAATTTGAATTGAGTTGAGCCGTGTCAATGGAGGGGAAAGGATTTTTTTTTGGGGTAGAGGTTTATTTAGGTAGGTTGTGCAGGAATTATTTCGCGAAATTTTTTGGTCGTTTACGTTCACTCTTGCTATTGATCCAGGTTCTTTTTAATTTCATAAACACTCACTAATGAATTGTTTTACACTAAGACACAAACACTACATTGCTACAATCCAAATTTTTCTACTCATTTTCATCAAAATTGAATTCATTTAATTTTAAATTCTACAAGATCATTATTTGTAATTAAAACTTACCTGAGATAGTTTGAGAAGAGGATGAAAAAGGTCCCGTCATGTCTAAAGAACCTGATGATTCTATGTTGTGTTGTACATTTACATCTTGTTGTGGGATTTGCTAAAAAATCATAAATGATTTTGAGATCAAACATAAATCTTATTTTTAATCATTCCTTACCAATGTGATTTGATGTGTAGGTTCATTTTCACTTTCATGAGAACTACTCCTATGAATCTCCAAATCACTACTATGTTGTTTTATTCGTTGTGGTGTACTAGGTTCTGTTGTAAACCCCCCTGGATCTGGTTTTATAACCGTACCTAACATAGTATTTGTTGGTGAGGTTAAATTACAATCTTGTTGTTCCTCAGAAACGCGTTCTGTTGAACCTGATCCTGAACCAGTTGAAGATTTTCTTAATCGTTTCCTAACAAAATTTAAGTTTTACTATAATAAAGATTTATTATTTATTTATTTAAATTTACCTCTTAGTTCCTGGTGATAAAGGACAAGGGGAAGGTGTCATAGATTGCCTCTGACCATCTGAACTCCATTTACCTTCATTTGTAGGTAACATTTCAGATCGATCTAAAGAGTTATTATGCCTTGAAAGTGACGATTCCATAGGAACCTCGGCAAGACCTTTAATTTTTAACATTTCAGCCGTTTTAAGAATGTGGGGCAATTGTTCCTGAGATACATTAACCTCTCCATAATACATAAAATCAACCATCACCTTCAAATCAGTGAATTTTACATCTTTTAGAATTACAATCGGGTGTTGGCATGGGTTCATTGTAAATAGAGACTGAAAAATAAAGCGCTAAAACAATAATATTAACTAACATAAATGTGTTTACCTGAAAATAAGAACTACATGCGGACAGCACCAACTTATGAGCCTGTACATGCCTACCCTCAGCAGAAAGTGTGACATCGACAAGCGACTCACTATTCAACAGACTAGAGAAGACCGAGATGAAATTGGGCTGGTGGTTATTCCACTTGAGACAGTACTGTTGCATCGTCATCGTTTTAAACGGGTTTCGATATAGTTTTCGGGGCTCGTTTGGCGGGACGGTTCCGTTTTAAAATTCAAGGGGACGCGCAATCGATTCACTCGTTCCTCAAAACTTAACCTTGAATCTCCACCGATGACATCAATAGAATCGGCGACAACTAGTGTAGCTAAATGGTAAGGTCAAAATGAAAACTTGTCAGGATGACGTCATACGTAATCTTACACTCAAAGACCGCGCACACCAACTGCGTATATAATTTACAGATAAGATTATCAAATAAACATTACGTTGTGAAAACATAAACTACCATTTTTTTAACCAACAAACCATCCAGAATGACGTAACCTTTTACAGGAATCTGTATTATCGCTATAATTTATTTATATTTCAAACTCAATGTACCTTAAATACAACAAATTGTATAAAAGGATGAAGATGATATCAATATTAATTTAATATAAATTATTTAAAGTTAATATCACTTAAATTTATATTTTTGAAAATATTCATTTCGTTGTTAGGCAACACGTATTTCATTATCTTGGTCCAAGTATTATTTTTATTATATTTTCGTAGAAACACTACTCGTAAAATTGTAAAGTACTATCTTTTTTAAAAACAATCTTATAATTTCTAAATATTTTGAAAATACCTTATGATTTTGAATGCGTTACATTATTTTTACGATTTTTAGCACTATTTAATGACATCTATGACTATATTGTTATGATATCTAATGGTGTTCTTGGTTATATCATATTTATGATTTTCAATCATTTCAGTCTCTCAATACTTGCAAAGACTGCCAATTTGATTGATCATATACAGGGTGAATCACATAAGAACCGACACAGAGCAGAAACATGTAGAGAACAATAAATTAAGGCGATTACTACTTCATTTCATGTGGAATTTAATTTTAAAACTTTTCTTACTCTTATTATTTTTTTAAAAACGTTATCATTTTCATAAAAAACTTAAATAACTAAAGACACTTATTTCGTAATGTTACCTACTTAAAATAAGCGAAAATTCAGTAGACGGCTATGAAATTATACGTCAAAGTTGACAAATAGGTTATAAATTATTTGACAAGAAGGTTTTATAACCTATTTATCAAGTTTGACGAATGATTTTTAAAAAATAATAAGAGTAAAAAAAGTTTTAGAATTAAATTCCACATGAAATGATGTAATAATGTATTAAATCCACCAAAAGGTTAAAAAATCTGTCAAAATTTAGGGGACCATCAACCTTAATCAACCCTTTGAAATGCCTCAATTGGTCTCAACTTGCTACCAATTAATATCTTCGGTACACTCATAATGTATACCAAATTTGCTTTTTCTAGCTTAATGTATTACGAAAATATTCAATGTTTTAAAAATTTAAGACCCAACTTTGAAGATCTATAACTCCCCAGGCGTACAACTTAGTATAGAGATAAGTTGCGTTAAATCATCTTAATTTATTATCCTCTACATGTCCCTGCTCCCTTCTTATGTGAATCACCATGTAGAGACAATCCTGATGTAACGATTGAAGCAAAAATTAAATATTCATAATTTTTAGCATCAGCAAATATCAGCAATAGACTTGTTAGATGGGTTCCTGATGCAGATGATCTCATATACAACGTAACAAGTCATGGATTCTTGAAATACTGTCACTAATAGCTACAATGTCAAGTATTAAGTTAGTTGTAGAACTTGGTAGAAACAAACTACAAGAACATTTTTCACCTACTTCACCACCATCTTCTGTTTGGAGTGACCAGAAAGTACTCTTTGAATTCCTAAAGCTCTAAGTTTTTTGATCATTGACAAAGACTTATTTTATTAAAAAGAGAAATAAAACAGATTTTAATTGTATAGTCATTTATATTTATGAAGCTGCAAATTTTTATAAATTCCATTTACATATTTCGCTGGTACAGTTTAAATTGTTGGTTAACCCAGTTAACAGCAACAATAACTAGGAACATAAGTTGTTTAAGAATACAAATTCATTCATTTAATTAATATTTATAGTATATGTTGAAACATTTCCTTTTACACATAGTTGTTTTAAATAAGTAATATATTAAAAAATAAATATTATTATGAAAATCACACAATTCAGAGATAATAGTTGTAATTTTTACAAACGTTTATCACAGTTAATAAATAGGTCCTAGTCTTAGTTATGCAACGGATATTTATTATTCAAAAAATCAGGTAGATTCTCGTTTTACAATCTTGAAAGACACAAAATATGCGTGCTGTGCAAAATTTTCTGCCTTAATTAAGTCTACTAATTTTCAAATAGCAATTACTCTAATAATTACAATATATTTTTTTAAACTAAAACATATTAAGGCTAGTAAGTACATGTTTTAAATTTGTCATTGTTTTAAAAAGGAATGTTATAATTTAAGTCTTCATAATTAAATTTATTACATCCAAAGTCACTAAATTAATAATAATTAAACTAAAGTGTATACCATATTAAAAATTTAATAACCCTATATAATGTAATCAATTTTTCTAAGTTATCAACTTGATCATATTTATCTTGCAACTCCCTTGGAATACTATCTAAGTACATAACAGGCTTTTTTAAGTTACAATTAGTAAAAATACCTGATGATTCATAATTGTACATCATATTATCTGTAAATAAATACTTTAAGGTATCAAAATCGCACCCAATTAAATTCAAAGATTTATCAAAACACATTCTTATTTCACTAATAAGTGAAATTTTTGTGTGTGCTTGAACAACACATTGAATTATAACCGTGGTATTTAATTCTTGGGTTAAAACATCGTTAATTTCTTGAATTGTATATCCAGTGTTGTTAGGAACAATACCTTTTCTTTTTAAAATTTCCCCTACAGAATATTTTTTAACCCAATCTAAACCCTGATTAAAATATTTATACTCATTGTCAAGTAAGTTTAATGTAGCCGCACAAGTACCATGTTTTAACCATTCGTGTTTCCACAAAGATATTAATCCAGTATTCTCTTCGATGTTTGTCCAATACTGTTTCAGTTCATCTTCGATTTTTTCGATTTTTGTTTCATTAAAAGGCCATGCTTTATTGCAAAAAGAGGGGCCATCCGTACCTATTTTTGTTGGCCAAATTCCGTGTATTGTCCATTGTACGTTATTTACAGGTATTGTACAATTATTTTTTACGTTCTTATCGTGCCATTCTATACATACGGTAATTGGCCAGCGCTCAACAAAGATCAGGTAATCCCAGTCCACATCTATGATACTAATAACATACAAGTTGATTCAGATAATTTATTAACTACATTGATGAAAAAACTTACTTGTCTGCAGTTGAGAGAGTTATTAAAAACGAAATATATAAGATGTACGACTTCATTGTTTAAATTTTATTTAAATATGTTACGTATTATTTTTTAGATAACCTTATCTTTATTACGTCAAGTTAATTGTAATGAATGCGAATAGATGGCGGTGTATTGAGTTTAAAAGAAAACTCTAATAAAAAATTTTATCAAGAGATGGCACCACGTATTTTTTTTTTCCTATTTTAACGAATTTGATAATTAAATACAATTAAAAAACTACATTAATAATTTTATTAGCTTTATTATTAACTAAATTATTTGATTTAAAATTCTTTTGTGATTCATTATGTTAAATTTCATAAATTTGTTAATTAAAATACAAGTGATTTTACAACCTCATAAATTACCTGGGAGGTCAAATCTTAATTTGGAGCTAATTGCTTTTAGTATTGTCCCAAGGATTTGTTAAGGAGCGTGAAACGAGCAGTGGTAATAATAAAATTACTTGGTGATTTAATTTGGTTTATTTTATTGTCACTTATTGAAACGTAAACCTTAATAACAATAAAAGTGTAATTATTTTATTATCACATCATTATTTATTGTTTTTATAACAAAAAAGATTTTTTATAATCACAAAATTTTTTGGTGAAAAATTTCTGTTGGTGCTAGTGACGTATTGACATATGGAGAAGTGAAACAGCCTAAATTTATAAATAAGAAAAATACGTTATATATATGAAAATAAGATTGTAGAAATAAATTTATTTGGCACTTACTTTATTATTTGGATAACGACGAGATTTTGGGATATTTTGATGTTATAGGGATATAAGGAAATATTTCGAAGTGCGGTAGGTGTTTGAAATAAAATCAAAAGATGGCGCTAAAGCCTTTTTTTTTAATTTTAAACACTTTTTTTAATTAATAATTAAAAATAAATGTTTATTACTTAGTAGAACTCGATATTAATAGGCGATAAGTAAAATATACTTATATATTTAGAGTTTGATTTAGATGTAATCTCACAAATTGACAATTCAAAACAACGACTTAACCTCAAATGTCAAAGAATTAGTCTTAAAATTACACTAACAAACAATTCTTGGTTACTTGTTAAAGAGGAATCCTAAACCTATATTGGGATGAGTTATTAAAGCTACCAATTCTGTTGAGTGTAAAAATAATTTTTTTTCTGCTAACATCTTTTCTGTCCATCTCTTTTCATTTGGTCCGCTTGGCAGCAATGCGTTTTACTTCTCCCAACATCCTGGCTCTCATTGCTTCTTTCTCAACAATTCTCTTCCACGTCTTTCTTGGGCGTCCTCATCTCCGTGCTCCTCAGGGATTTCAGTTAAGCGCTGACATTTCAATTGGTTCATGAGACTTTCTTAGCCTGTATTAGCTCTAAGAGAATTAAGAAAATAAAGGGTTTATATCAGCAGAAAGGGGTCAAGATATCACCATAATATCAGCAATATCAACCACGGTGAACTTTAAACCTCATATGATGAAAGGGACAACTCTGTTTTGTTGATGCTTGGAAAAGTCCTTCAAAGAAGACCGATTGCCCTCATCTCACAAATAAAGATGAGAATACTGAATCGATCAGATTTCGCCAGTGACAGATTATCTACAGCGAATGATCCTTTTCCTAAAGTAGTGCCTAGGAAGGAAAGCTACTGAGAAAGGAAAAATTAAGAATGTTAATTGACACCCCCGAAAACCCAGGGTTTGAAGAAGACTTTTGGAAAGGAGAGCTAATTACAATTGTAGATATAACAGATAAGATAAAGAAAAGAAAGCGATTAAGTTAAGAGGAAAAATCTCTTCAGCTTTTTTGATGACTGGGATTTGATGATTTATTAGGAAAGGAGGAAGAAGAGGAAAAAATAGAACAACAATTCCTGGGCCATTTTATGGAAAAAATTACTTACTTTTGTCGTCCATTATGTTTCCATTTTTGTTTTATTATAGTCCGTTTGCATTGAATCCAAAATTAATTATTTGAAATCTAGAATAGGTCACACACAAACCTTAATATTCATTATCCATAAACAAAGAAAATCCAAGAAATCGTATACACATAATCTAATTTATAATTTATCTTTTTTTGGGTACTTTAGGAGTAAAATGGGAATCCCAATTTAACTACGTCACCACATACGTACAAATAGTATTAATAAGTTAATTTAAATAAATCACCCTGTAGATAAAAACCACATAATTAGTGCACTCCAACAGGTGTCGGGAGAAAAAGACACCAGAGCACCTGATGAAGTACAATAGACATGTGATAGAAAAAAAACCTAAAATATATTGTAGTGAAATGACTAAATATTTCTTGTCGTTTTGTTACCAACCGTCGCGCGCGCTACTTCAGGTACCTGACTGGACATAAGTGCCTAAACGAAGCCAAGTACCGAGGTAGCGCGCACAAAAGTCAGAAAGGAATCTCAGATATGTACCGGCGTCGCACGAACTCTTCATAAAAACCTATTGAAGTTCTATTTTTCGCCCATGCTTCTATTTTCAACTGGAACAAACCTAAAAATAACACCTTTCACTCCTTTATCCGGACGGAATTTACTCAAATTTAGAAATGGAGAACAAGGTTGATGACGTCACTCAAAACGGAACCTTGAAATACTTTTGCTCAACACGCCGCCGGTATTACTAATACCAACCAAAAATTATGTTATATATAAAAAATTTTATCACTAAAAATACAAACTTAAATTTACACGATTTATGCACAAGGTAATTCCCCGAAACGAGTGTTTTAAAATTATAAAAAAAACTTTCACTGAACCGACCGGTTTGGATTTTATTTGAATTAATTTTATTGGATTTCATCGAATTTCATCAACAACTCATCGTATCAAGTGTTCGGTTTGAACTGGTAGACGACTGGATTCGAACTGACCCGCACTAACACGGTGCGCGAAATCAAGTGAGCCGAGCGCAGCCGATGAAGGCAGGAATTGGGAAAACCGGTGCGGTGTGTGCGAGTGTGTGTGTATGCCGCAAGCCGGGCCAATCAAGAATCCGGCTCCGCGTCCAGAATAGCGACCGAATCCGATGGTTCGCGAATCTCCTTGAATTGTTTAGTAGTGTGAGTCGGGTCTGTCTGGGTCCTTAACCTAACTTAACTACCGAGACGGCGGCCGTCTCACTCTCTTCCCCTTCCTTCCTCTCATCCTTTTTCTTCGTATCCCTTTTTTTTCAGTCTACAACGAAAAAGAGCCAAAGAATCAGATAAATTTTAAGTTACCCAAAATTTTCTTAAACAAAATTTACCACAGCAATATACAGTGTGCGGCAAAATTATAGAAAAAATTCAATATTGACGACTTAAAAACATGAAATGACTGCGTGAATATGGACCGCACACTGTATATTTTGACGCACACTGTAAATTTTGCCGCACACTGTATATAGAAAATTGATTAATGAACCAAATATTTGAATTTCACAATATTTCATGTGAAAACGTTCATTATTACACTATAAAATACAATGAAAAAAAGTTCTTTTTGAAAGTTGATAATTATAATCGAACATTTTAATATTAAAAAGTGGTCCATGACGGAGCAATTTAGTTGATTCAGACAAGATTAACGCTGACTTATGCATGACTCATAAGCAAAGGAATTTTTGAAATTCTGACGCACGCTTTCTCGAGAAATCTATTTGCAATTTAGTTATGTTTATAAGAATAAGATTGAGACAAAAAAAAATCTTGATGTCGTGACGCGAACTTATTGCACCGCATTAAAATAGTTTTACTAAAGGTTACTTACCACCTCCTCTCGATTGACCTATTGATTATTGAATCATATTATACCGAGTGTTTCTAAAGTTCTTTTAGAAAAAGAATTTTTAGTTATCATTTTTGATAAAAAGGTTATTGAAAAAGTTCAGATTATAAATCCAGAAATAAATATATACGTTTAATCAAAGGTTAAATTATTAGGTTAAATTACTCCTATTATTTATAAACTTTATTGTTCACTATTTATCTTTTATTAACGTCAGCTGATACTCTTTTCAGTTCCTACGCCATCTTTTGCATACACACAAAAACATCATTGATAAAGTAAGAACACTTTTAGCTCATGATAACCACGTGCTTGTCATCTCACTTTTTTTTATTCGTACCGCGAAATAAACTTTGTACAATTTTATTAATTTAATTTTAGATTTTACCTCGAAAATGTTTCTTTTAACCGGTTGTTGTTAAAAATAATCGAAAGTTGCAGAAACAAAAGCGCATCATCTCGCGTACGACGATGACGGTAACGCCCCCGTACGGTCTGGTCGGTTGCTAAGGGGATTCTGGTCTCTTTGAAACGATCGCGCTGCCGTTGCTCCTCCACCGCCGTTCGACTCAAGGTCGCAAGAAGGACTCAATCAGTCACAGAATTATCGCGTCGGGCGCATTCTTAAGAACGGTATGCAGCAGTCGCCTCCTTTTGCGATTTGGGTCGACTTCGTTGTCGTCATCATCGAAGCAACTCTTTCTTTAAATTTTCAAAGCTAAAGCACTTGATGTATTCATTTCTGGTTTCTTCTAAAACAATAATGTAGGCAATTATGACACATTGTGGTCTGCTTTAGAAAAAGTATTGAAGTCTCTTTCATGACAGTTATTGCTTGGTACTCAACTCAAAAAAAGAAGTGTTTTATATTCCAACCTTCTTCAAACACAAACATGAATTATAACCTCTTCTCAGTATTGTTTCGGATAATTTTAATAACTAATTTGACGTTTTTAATGACGTTCTAAAAGTCACTTTTGGCGTTTATTCAACTTCATGGTAAAGTGTACTAAATTTGACCAAGATGGCCGATTTTCACATCCGCCAACTATAAAAACATAAAATAATTAGATAATTATTTGGTTAACGCAATTTTCGTAGTAATTTTATTGTAATTTTTATTAATTATGACTTTTAAACCGCTTTATAAAAGTTAATTTAAACATTGATTAATAAATTAAGTTTGATATAAATTTTAATTTACGATTGCTTTTTTGACAGTTGAGGTTATGTTGTGGTAATGTGAATTATCAGATGGTTTTTTTACGTTTAAATTGATGGATTTAATTCATTAACGGCAAAAATAAGTTTAATTCTAAAATGAAGATGTGCCAAAATCTGTTTTATTAAGTAATCTTTAAACCAATTTTGTTTACGTAGTTGTAACAAGTTTAAATGATTTCTGGGTGTCGTTTAGGTTCATTTTATTGCATGTTAAAGAATCCAATTCATTTCTAAATATCAATGCAATTTTAATTACTACTTTGACGTTTTTAAAGACGTTCAAAAAGTAATTTTTGTTTATTCAACTTCACGGCAAAGTATACTAAATTTGACCAAGATGGCCGATTTTCACATCCGCCAACGTTAAAAAATAATATTATTAAATAATTATTTGCTTAACGCAATTTTTGTAGTAATTTTATTCTAATTTTTATTAATTATGACTTTTAAACCACTTTATAAAAATTAAATTAAACTTTGATTAATAAATTAAGTTTGATATAAATTTTAATTTACGCTTTTCTGACAGTTGAGGTTATGTTGTGTTAATGTGAATTATCAGATGGTTTGTTTACGTTTAAATTGATGGATTTAATTCATTAACGGCAAACATAAGTTTAATTCTTAAATGAAGATGAGTGAAAATCTGTTTCATTAAGTAATCTGTAAAGAATTTTTATCTACGTAGTTTTATATGGATGAAGAATGTCATTTATATTTACGAGCTTTGATGTAGAAATGCATAAAAACTTTTGTGTAAGTTACTAAAATTTAATAATTTGGTGTCTATATTCTATTATTCTTAGAATACAATTGCATTGATTATCAATCAAGGTGACTTGAAGGAGTATTGTTACATGATCGCCTTTAGCCTATAATCTAAATTATTATTGAAAATGTTTATAAATAAGATTTCTTAGAAAAAAGTACACTCGCCGGTTTCGGGAATGCGGCCTTGGTAGATTACAGTTAATCAGAACCGGCGATTATCTCTCCTCTTTATTTTTGACTGAGTTGTTATTCTTGAATGACCCAAAACTTAGAAACTATTAACCTTGGGAATTTCTAAGAATTTGCAAAAAAAGAATTTGCTCAGGTATTTTTTGCTTTACATAACTTTGAACGAAAAAAATTCTTAACGGTTTGTATTAAAATTTACCACGAAAATTGCACAGGTGTTGAATAGAAATACCGTAAAAGCTCTTTCGAGAGGCAAGGGCTTCGTCGTGTAGCAGATGGTGGCAAATAACCACTACCTCGACACGTTAACCAATAAGAAGCACTTTGCAAGCTGTCGTCTATTAAAATTGTTATCAATAAGTTGAAGCACCTTTAACGACTTACATTACCGCAAATGTATAATAAAAAATTTATTAATAAAATTATATAATAAATTTTTCGTTTATCGAAAGATTTACAATTCTTTTCTTATCGTTGAATTTGTGCCTAATTTTTTTAAGATGTCCAAGCTGATAAATAAATATTCTGATTAAATGAACATCGCTTACCAATATTATACCTCACGGTTATTGTTGCGTGTATCACGATAAGCAAGATCCTTAATCGCTTGTGATGACGGTTTAAGGCAGATGGTATACGTATATAATTTTTAGTAGTTTTTTAAGTTTTATTTTTAACCGTTCTTGATTAATTAACTGATAGATCAGCTTTTAAAATTAATCGATTTTGTGGAATATTAATAATTAAATTAATTAAAGTTAACTTTATTTTAAATAAAATTTGAATTCTTTAGGTTACATAAACCTCAGCAGAAAGGTTCTTCAAGATCTTAGGGACCCCTTTTTTGGAGATAGGCTTGGGTAAAATCCGGATTATGTTGGCCTTTGCCTCTAAGATAAGCTGGTTGGGAAGACCGCAGTGCTGATTAAAAGGGGTTTAATGAAATTTCAGAATACAAAAAAAAATCTGCATCGAAAAGTCAAGCAGGTAAAGTCAAAATTACTTACATACATGAAGATTTAATGATTAAATCACCACACATTCTCCAAAAATCTTCCTACCACATTATTTCTTGAAAATTGATGAAGTTAGTTAATTTATGAATAAAATTCACTTATTTAGCATGATATAAATTTTGGTACATCAATGCAGGGCGTTTACATTTGAGTACCGTCGAGACGCCTGTCCTTGATCTTCTTCGGAGACGTCTAGACGTTAAAAGCGCACCAACAACCGATCCGTACCGAAGGGGCCGGCCCGGGGTCGACTCGGGTCGGATCGGGTCGATGAATAGGACGTGGAAAACTCTCGAAAACGTTGCCGAATCTCTTTTTATAGAATCAAAAAGAATTATTAGTACCTAAGTATTAAAGAAAGAAGAGATTACACTGGAGTCACTGAAGGAAGATGAAAGACTCGCGACCCTTCGGGTGTCGAACTCCACTCTGGAAGGTTTCTGGCGTTAGGGCTTGTATGTGTGCTGCGCCGTGCGCTTGGGGGCCATTGCGACGTCTAGACGTGAGGGGCGAGGGCGGTTTGGGGGGAGAAGCTAAAACCGACGAGGTGGGACGGAGACGGAGGGGTTGGGGTAGGCCACGGCGCAGTTACGGACGTGCAACCGGAAGTAGATGTGCGCAACCGGTTCCAGTTCGAGGAAGGTCGACGTCGACGTTTGCAGTACTGATTTTGGAATGGTTGGCGTCACGACGCCAAATTATTTTATTTATTTTAATTTTTGCAAATTCATTTTCAACTTGTCAGAATAAAAAAGGCAAAAAATAACTCAAATCACTAGAAACAATAAACCCTTATTTGTAAAACAAGAACGTTTATGTCGGTACAATCCCACACCTTTAACCGACTCAACCGACAAATTCCAATCTCATGCCGCATTTCTTTGTTGTCATCACGTAACAGTCGTTAGGGGGGAGAAAACTGAAGGAACTACGCGATGTAAAATGTTCGTAAATGCGGAGAGATCTCTCACGTTCAGGTAGAAACGAAATGGGCACAAAAGAACTGCCGTATAATGCTTACTAGTTATTACATTTTAGGGGGAGCAAAAGTATCACGACCTAGGGTAGGTTTCGATACCTTACCCTAAGCCGATACTAATAACATCGAAGTACTATATATTTTTTAAGAGCAGTGTCACGTTTCAAATATAACATCGAAGTAATCTAGATATGCGTAGTTGCCTTGGAGCCACAGTACAAAATAAAATTAGAATTGTAAACAATACTTGATTTATTTTTAAAATACGTTTTGACGTATTTAAGATTTAAATAGTAGTACTTGTTGTAAGACAATTCAATTAAAGTGTTTTACAACTTTTTGTAATTCTAACTGGTCACAAGAACACAAGTTTTATCTTGCCACAAACAAAGTGCTATGCTATGTATTTTGATAATTACACTAATTTAAACTAAATCTGATCAGTGATAATCCGCATCATACTCAAAATTAAGGTTCTGTTAAAATCAACCAAGATTTTGTTGCATCATCCTGTCACTGCAACATTAATCCTTTCCCTGAGTTCTAATGTGTTTGGTAGTGGGGGAACGTAAACAAAATCCTTTATGTGCCCCCAAAGAAAAAAATAACAAGGCGTTAAGTCAGGTGGTCGAGACGGCCAAATAAATAAAGGTAAGTTATTTGCACCAACATGGTCAATCTAACGATACGAAATTTCATTATTCAGGTATTTGCATACTCCAATGAAGGAATGCCAAGCTGGGATATAAAACCGCAACATATCCAAGTTTCTACACATAGAAAAGTAGTAGTTCTGGACTCTAAAAGTATACAATTGATTTTAAATTTGAAGAATAGCAGTGGAAACGCAAGTTGTGGACTGCTACCATAGTGGACAAGTGATTTAAAAAGTAATTATTTTAGAATCATTATATACGAGATAGCAATTATGAATCTCCAGCTATTTAAGGAGTATAGTTGTATTAAGATAAAATGACTATATAACAAAGACAAATTCATTCAATTAGAATTTAATATAGGAAAATATGAAAGACCTCGGTTATCGACCATTTAGTTCAATCGTAAAAAATTATATGTAGTTGTAAATAAAGCGACCTTGAAGATTGTATTTCGGGGAACGTGTTTTATATCCGGACTATAAAACCCGTCACGTTCTATACCTACTACAAAACACGTTTACATACCCACATACACACAGATAGACCAACCGATAATTGTTCGATTTAACTACTACCACTTCCTCTAAAGTCCAAACCAAAACGGTCTTTACAACTTTACTAAATGGTCGATTGGATCGGTGCTTTTAAACGTTATAAATGAATTTATGGCCAATTTAAGCTTCGGGCCTATAGATATAAGTATTTAAACGGGGCGGAAACTTGGTCATGTCACATTTATCACCTATCGGTGGGCAATAAATTCGTATTTATACTACAAAATCGAATGTAAATCTAGTGGCGTTAGATGAAATTGTAGCCGACTTTCTATATAAGAGTTATCAAATAATTAAATCGTTTTATTTATGTCTATCAATGGATAGATATTAGTTTAATGATATCATAAAAAAGAAAGTTTTGAGTTACTTGTAATTGGATTTAATTTTACGTTATGACACGTCAGTGTAAATTATACGATATCGAAATTATGTGTTATGATTAAAAATTCCCGGAACCATATTTTTAACGCTTATTATGACTAAGAGATTCAAATGTCGATGATAAATTGATGTATCGGTTTCTGAATGTTTCGATTAATTAAAAGCGGTTATGAATTTAAGTTAGTTTTATTATAGCAGATAATAAAAGTATGTATTTTTTGTTTAGGAAAATTGGCAAAAACATTGGGGAAGTACCAGGTACGAGGGCTGGAAGATCGACAACTGACGTAGAGAGACTGGATACTGGAGAGGAAAATCTTGAGCAAAATAATGGGATCAATCAGGGAACCACAACTATATGAAGAGATTATAAAGCTTAACATGTCCAGAGGATGCCGGATGATAGTGTACCACAGAAGTCACTACAACAAGAACAGCTTTAAGATAGGAGACAGATTTAGGTACCCAGATAACGAAGGAAGGATGAGGTGCGGAACATGTTAGGAGTTGCAAACTAAAAATGAGCATCAAAAGACAGATGGATGGAAGAAGAAGATTGAGGAGACCAAGTCTCGAATTGGGTTGGGTTGATAACACAGAAGTTCCGAACATGTTTATACTAAACGCCTTTTTACTTTTGAAGCCTATATTCTTCGCAGAAGCAACTCAAGAAGACAGTTGACGTTGCCTATTTAGACTTTATTCGACATACAAGAAACTTAGAAGATCATGTTGTAGCACCGACAGTATTGCTCTAAGAGTTTTTGCAACAGAGGACTCAATTAGCTTAATTCAATCGACGAAACATTTTATAGACTTGACAAAAAATGTATTCATTTTTCAAGATTAAGACAATCCCGTGACAAAGTGCTCAACGCAATATTAATAAACTGCGTTTTGTGCTTATATCTATATATCTTTGTAGTTCATCAAGAAGATGTATTTTGTCTACTAACAATTATCTTTTTTTTTTTAGATCGCGTTGTGATGTTGAAGTATTGCAAAAATAATTTACAAATATGAAAATAATATATACACAATTAGTTGGATTTTGAAGTTACTCAACCATACAGCAACTACAGATGTTGAGGTCATGTTAAATCGGCAAATTTTTAGTGGCGCTCAAGGTCTAAAAAATTATAGTTCAGTAACGATTTAAGCAGCTTGTATACTTTGTAGTTACAACCGCTGTAAAGTGGTAAACGCGACTAATAACACTACAATATAAACAACGTTCTTCAAAACTTAAAAGCTTATACACTATAAAATAATGATATATACTATTTGGAGTTATTTTATCAAAGTAAAACCCATAACCACAAGCAACATGAGATAGTGCTTGGTTTAATGACTAATAATTGAAAATATTTTAACAACAGTTATATAATAATTTAAATTTTTGGTTAGAATTCAACAAATTTTTCAACTACTAAAAATTTATAACGTTTATTGGATTATTCCCATGAATCATTACAAACAACGATAAGTTTGTTGAAAGCAAATACTTGAACTAACAAACTAAAAAAAATATTTCCAAGAAACCTAAATGTAACCCGAATTGAATAGTGTTCAAGTGAAATGTTTGGCGAAAAATCGTGACTGAATGTCGATAATCGCTAAAAGGGTTTGTAATAGGATCGTAACGTATCGAACATAATACATATTCATTTGTAACTAAATAATTATGTACAAACCTACGTAGTGAGACATCCGTCGCGACACGCCGCATAGTGCCGATGTAAAATTGCGTCATGCCAATGACTCACTACGGCAACGTAACGCATTATATTTATACGGACAGTTTACGTGTCAAATGTATGTATGTGTGGATACTGGCAGATCTGTTCTATAAATAGAAACACTACACCGTAGAGTGCATTCATTCATTGCAGTTGTATAGTGTGGCATGAATACTCTAAGTACTTAAACGCAGGGGAAGAGGAAACGTCCACGACCGTAACAGGTCTATGGCCACGGAGAAGGTCAACATTTTTGCGATTAATCCCCAGTGCGTTTTTGAAAACACCTACGTTACGTTACTCACCAATTTTTAGTTTTATATTTTTTCTTCAATTTGTTTATAAAAACTCGTCGCTACTCCTTTGAGATCCATGGATCACTGTACTCACACAAAACACTTTCGTATAATACTTCTTGGTCTTGGAGCCGGCACTAAAGTGGAAAGAATTCGGCAAGCACATGTCCTTCTAAGCTGTCCAGCGACGGATGGCGCATGCCCGTTTTACGTCCATCTCTGTCCGACGCAAGCGTTTTGATCGGAGAGAGGTGAATGGCAGAGGCGGTGTTATCGTCAACAGAACGGAGAGAGGCTTAGCAACCGTTGAGATAGCAACGCAGGTTCCGGCGTCCGACGTCGTCGTCGTCTGCGGAATGGGTGGGGTGACCTGTCTGACGTCGCGACAGAGAGCGCACTGGTGCGAAGTACATGTGCACCCGGCAATATAACGTGCGCTCTTTCTTTCTTGAATGTTGGTTCGTTTGCTGTTGGCCCGCTTGGGGTCTGTCTACCTGCCTATGCCTCCGGGGAACTATGCCGGGTGTGTACGGTCGTCGGAAGGACCACGGGTCGCGACCCTCACCACCCCACCCCATTCCTGAACTTTACATTTTACAAACCCAATCTATAATCTACTACTTGATTTTTTAATTTAATTAATAAGTTATTACAACCGATATTAATTTTTAGACTGAACTCATCAAGATTTATTACATTTTGAGAAGATTTCATCTTCCTGCTTTCAATGGCATCACCTTTTCCCAGGAATACGGTATATTACACAACTTTCCGTTAATTTGTATATAACATACGATTGTGTTCAAATCATTTCGTGTGCATCAAGTTTTTCATCGGTTGGTTGCATTTGTGTCACAGCAATTACTTAACATTCAAAATACTTTGAAAACTTTATCTTATCTCTTTGTCTTCATTTATTGTACGACTCTCATCTGCTGGAACTAATAAACAGATTGCATCGACATGATTCGGCTACTTAAGTTTTTATGTTTTAATCTTTTTACTACTTTTTCGTTGCCCTTTCATTGAATAGGCGTTATGTCTTGTTGCTGCCTTTTCATATTATTGCGAGGAAGTCATTAAGAGAGTACCATGCCTCTCATGTCTATGTGTGATGTTTGGCTTGAAGAACACGTGAAGATGGCAGAATTAAGCTCCAAAGTTCGAATTGATCATGGTAATCAACTTCGTCAAGTCGGCGGAAGTCGCAAGTATGGCAGGTAATGCTATAAAGACGAGTGGTTCCATGTTTTCTAGATATTGTATTAATATTGGGTTCCACTCATAATTTTATTAATTAATTAATAAACAATAGTTTTGTTATAAGAAATAATTACAATAAAGAGGAAATATTGACATTCCGTAGAAAAATCCTTGTAAATCGAGAGCCTAGAGAGTTTATTAGTACTTCTTCAAATCGTTCAAATTAATATTATAATTAAAATATAAAGAACAACTCACGTATTGATATCAAAGTTGATATACCGAGGATAGTTAAAGCTGATCGTTGAAAAGTTTCATAAAAGTTTGTTATAGTTCTCATTGATTTCGTCGTTATTTGTAAAGATGTTTTAATCAATGATAAATCCATTCGTATTTCCGTCGTAGATTAAGAAATATTCTTGTATTTAGTTAAAAAAAGAGGCCACAAAAAAAAAACGAAACATAACCTCCAAATCTAAAGTATTCAATTTATGGGTGATTACAGCCAAAAAACTTCTTGAAATACCTAAAAACATAAAGCTTATAATGAATTACATCAGATTCAAGTGATTTTGATCAGTTTAAAACCTAAATGTTGGAAATTAAAAATGTGAAGATTTTGAAAGAAACGGAATATAAATTTTGGAATTAAAGAAGAATTAATGTGAAAAATTGTGTCAAAGGGGAATGAAATAATTCAGAGTATTCAGACATTGAAGGATTTCAATAAATATAGTTTATTTAAAAAGTAATTTTTGAAAATTTGGAGGAAAAACCAAATGTCAATAAGAGATGGCGCTCAGAAATACAAATTTTTTACACTTCTTCTTGTGGTATCAAAGAGGGTGATGGACAAAAAAGAGAAGTTTATGTCGATTTTTGCCGAAAAAAGGGTGAAAAATGAATAACGAGGACGCTAAGATTCGCTTCCTGATCATCATTCAGTAAACATCTATTTCGAAACGCTCGTGAAATCCTACGAAGATAAATTTCTGAAGAAAAAACATAACCAAAGAAATTCACAATTGAGGGAGAAGAAAAGAAGCTAAAATTAATTAAGAAGAGTACGATAACCAACCTGGGAAAGAAGACATCGGAATAGTTTTTTCGGAAAGCCACCAAGGGGGTACCAACACATTCCACCAAGGGGGAAAAAGGAGCAGCTCAAACCAGGGAGGAATCAAGATTTCAATCAATTCCACCAACATCTGTAAAACCAAAGAAGTTAAGATTTTTTTTAAATTTTCGATATACCATTTCTAAAAAAATAACTCACTTACCTCCTGTGTAATCCAGAGCGAATCAAAATCAATTATTTCAGATCACTTTGATTATTTCAATTATCAGAATCAATTTATTTAAGAAGTTTTAGAGCTGAAAGTTATAGAAAAGTTCGGAACTACAAAACTCTTAAACCAAAACAAGCCTAATGACATTACTTCTGTAATGTCTGTATCGAATAGTAAAAAATTGAGAGTGCATCTTGATAAATAGACAGGATTGATCCCACAAATTGTATACAAAAATGATTGACGACTTAAGAATACACAGTCTCAAATAATTTCAAAGCTCATTACAGATTTTTTTATTACTCCCACTTAAATAAAATAATTTTTATCGAAATTTGATAAGATAACGATGGGGATTAACGTAGAGGAACCAAAAAGGTGATTTGGCCAATCTAAATTATGTCATTAATGCGTAAGTTACAGTACGAGTAATTTAATAAAATTACCCGTCTAATTAAGTTTTGAACGACGATGTCGTATTCTAACAAAGAAGCACCATGTTGTCAGAAGGTTACCTATAGATGTTGAAATTTCCACGTCCTTTGTTTGACGTTCGGGGTCAGTCGGTTCTGATGTGCGGTATTTCGACCATTGACAAGTCATCCGTTTTTGGTGGGTCTCTCTCTCGCACACTGAATCCTTTGTCCAAACTACCTGGACCACGGGATCGAAACGATCAAAACCATCTTCTAAACGGTTTTATTAACAACAAAGAAAATACCTGAATGAATAATTTACCATTTAATCGAACAAGAAGTTTTTGATCATTTCAAATTTTGAATTTAGAATCAATTACGAGTTAATTACGAGATCGTTATTGTTTCTATAACACGAATTTAAATGTTACGGTTGATTTTCAAATCGACCGAGATAAACTAGACGCTCAATTACTCTCTTTGGCACGGAGAGTTTCTCAATATGCCACGGCATTATGCAGCTACAATTCCTTTTTTTTTTTCACGTTTGGGTTGAGCTGGTTTTGTTGTTGTTTGCGATATTTCGCTATTAGAAATCTTGGGTGAACGCAGAGAAATTGCGCCAGGACGTGGATGTATGCCAGGAAAAGGGCTCCACGACCATGCCACAGCAACTCGTCGATTTCGTAAAAATAGTGGGATAGATAGCGAACCGGACGACGCCACCAACGCCAGGTTATAAAAATAGAAATTCCTATGCTTTCGAGAACTTGAAGGAATTGTTGCCAATTGGCCTCGTTTTTTGTGCGATTTAGCGCCGCCTTAAGGTTTATTTAAGATCGATGCCAAATCAGTAAAATACATGGGAGTTGTCACTAAAATTTTCAATTCTCTTTATTTTTACATCGCATAATAGAAATCTTGTAATTTATACATATTCAAGTTTCCCAATAACTTATTAAGTCGAGTAATAATCTACCATTACTTAAACTTTAAAAGGTTCGCAATGAAATTAAAGTTTCGTAAACAACGGCCCACGATGAATTTATGTACGTCGCAATCTGGTAGTAGTAAAATGTCATTGAAAGTGATGTTGTTATGTAAAGCACAGCTGTTATCACTCACTTGTAAACATGAGTAAAGGAAAAGCATAATAATATTTCACACTTTCATTAATTTTTTATTAAACATCTTGGCATTTGATTTCTTAGTTGGATTTCAAATTATCTAGCACTATTTTATTTACATGAAGGATGACCTTTAATCT